TTATTATGAATTACTTTCTGTTAGCTACACTAATTAGTACACATTATTATCGCCAAAACCGTGAAAAAAATGTTTTTTTTCCAATTTGTTTGCATTTTTTTGTATTGTTTATAAAAACATAAGAATTTATATAGGCATATGTCACATCAAATTAAAGCCCATTTTATCCTTTAGAAAATTGCATATAATATGTGTAGGTGCAATGAATGAGGTAGATGGAAAATATGATTAAACAAACACATAGCAAAAATGGCAAAATTGCTCTGGTCCCACGGAACGAAAACAAATTTCTGAAGCTGTGTCACTAAGGGGTAAAGGAAGACAGTTTGCTGGTCTATGCATTGGGGCAGCAGAGCTCCAACGCAGCTGGTATGAACTGCCCTGAAAGGGTGGATTGTGGGAGAGTTAGATTGCAGGGTATTCAGAGATGCTGAAAGGAAGAAAGTTCAAGCCATAGTGTGAAAATGGAGAAAGAGGTATTTTCTTCACCTTTTAACTTTTTTTTTGTGCCACATCATCTTTCTGCTTAGGATATCCTACTTTTCCCACAGCCTAGGTTGCCAGTGTTTTTATGGTGTCACTCAAATAACATGGAGGATGTCAAGCATCCTAAAATCCTGAAAGAACTGGGGACCGTGTATATTTTGTGTTCACTGCTAAATTGTTTATTTTCTGGTTTGAGCACCAGAAAAAAAGATTTTACACTTTTGAAAGGTGATTAATCCACTGTAGGCATAGCAATGCGGAATGTAGCTTGTTCTTGTAGGTAGATGTACCTGGTGGTCATTATTATTATTCTACCACTGTGTAAGCCACTGTCCTATAACATGTGATATACATATGCGTGCTTCAAGTCAGTGACTCACTAAGTACTGAAATTGCAGGATTTTTGAATTGAAGCAACACAGACCGTTTAATAGTCCAGATACATCTTTATTCAATGTAGCATTGAGAAAACAGTATTGTAAATGGACTATTAAACAGAGTATGGAGCTTAAATTCACAATCCTGCAATTTGACACTACAAACCATGGAGATAGTGGAGATCCTCTGGAATGTAAAAGATGCCTGTTCGGTAGTCAGATCACCTGTACTGACTCTTTGCCCACCACACCAATAAGATAAACCTTGCAGGTCCAATGCTTTTATTCCATTAAATAGTGAAGGAAGTGTAAGGCAGCTGAATGGAGGGGGTTACATTTTTGAAGGGAGAAGTTACTGACCAGTGATTCTGGAACAATCGTGTCCAGATCCTGTGGATCCTTTTTTTTCCTAACATTGGTACATTGATTACATCTCCATTGTGTCGTAACTCTTCCTTTAAACATTACTGCACCATATTAGAACTCCATGCGGGGATCAGGGGACTCTCTGCTTGGGGGGTAAAATGGCTGGCTCATAGTAAAAATCCAATAGAAGAATAAGAGGCACTGATGCAGTGGCTAGTGTTGCAGTAGAACTAAGAGAGAGAGAGAGATGTTTTATATCATCCATATACCAGGGAGGCAGCCTGAAATGTGTCTGAGACATACTGCACTCATTGAAAAATGCACCAGGCCTAGGGAGTGGTTTGGCTGCTTACATTTCACCACCGAAACAGTAGGATAAGAATAATAAAGGTAAATTAAGATGTCCTTTATGACCAATTCAACAATAGCAGCTTGCATATTTCTATCCTGACCAGTTCCCTTTAAAGACTAACTGCATTTTTTTAACCATATTTCATGTTACACACATATTAAGGGTCTAACATGAAACATGGTCACATCCGCAGCCTCCCCAAACAACTGCCTTCTTACCAGATTCTCCCCACAGGAATCCGTATATACTTGAAATTGGCTCTGCCCACACCCCCGTGCAATCCATTCACAGATCCTTTGACAGGACTAGAAGTCTCCACGCAGAGAGACTGAACAGGGGACTGCCACCAAGGCAGAGGGACTGAACAGAGTACAGGTGTGGTGATGTCACCCCACTTGTAGTTCCATTGACACTTCCTCACATCCCTGCAACTGAAAGTCAATATTTCAGTTTGGAAATGGGCTGGGAGGAAGAGTCTGCAGTAGTCAGAGCATTGCACCCTCTATCCACTGATCATGGTTGCAATGCTTTGCAGGCTCCAGTGCAAAAAAATCAATCAGTTGACATTTTTTTTTCTTTTACTAATGTGTGTGCATTTATTGATTTTTTGCAAAAGGTGAACTTTGCCTTTCATTTTCCTAAAAAAACAAACCTGTATGTTGCTCATCAGTAGTCACCTTATGACATTATTATAAAATACAGATTATTTTTCTACTTTTTAATTGGTTATGCCAGTCGCTTTGATGTCTGTGCAGTGACTTTGCTTTTCCAACTTTTAGATTGTGTGGAGGAAATATAAATAGGTCATGGAATTATATTGGCTGGATTAAATGTCAGGGCTTGACACAAGATTTGTGGCTTAGTAGACAGCCTGAAAAATATAAACCACAGATCAGACAGCCTTTTAAAAATCTATTTCTATGTTGATATTTAGGATATTTGAAGGGTTTTAAATGATTGGTAATGCTGCTTATCTATAATGAAGGCACTTTAGGCATACTTGCTGTGTGTCAGTATGGTTAAATACATATATATATATATATATTTAAAAAAAAAATACGTTGGTGTGTATAATTTTAGGTAACGGTACCTTCCAAGTAGATTGTTCCACTTTAAGGTGGCTTTAACTCTTTTTTTCCTATATTCATGTTGCACATCACTTGCAGGTAATAGCTTTTGCTGATGCTTTGACCCCTTTATTATTATGCACATTGTTTTAATAATTCAGAAATATTTGGGTGTTTTAAATCTTGTACGTGTATTCACTCATTGATGATTGTATCCTGCACACAGTTGGTACGTATATATGGAAAAATACTGTATCTCTAGCCACAACAAGCAATAAAAAGTCTTCATTTCCATTAGGGATGCACCGATACCAATACTAGTATCGGTATCGGTGCCTCCGATACCTTTCCCGCTACTAGAACTTCCGGTCAGAGGAAGGAAAGATGGAGCCGGAAAGCTGGCACCATGATGTTTGGCTGGCTTGATGCTGATTGGCCGGGAAGCCGGCTTCCCAGCCAATCAGTGTCGAGCCGGGCAAACAAATCTGATAATATGCACCCCCCCCCCGCAGGTACCTAATTCCCCGCACATAGATCCTTAGCATTCAGTTCCTCGGTCAGATCTGCCGTCTCCTGTGTGCAATCAGCATCCAGCCGGCCAAACAATATGGAGTCGGCTTCCTGGGCAATCAAGAAGCCTTCCTGGCTTCCTGATTGCCCGGGAAGACGGCTCTATGCTACCGGAAGTGCTGGTATCGGTACTCGGTATTGACGAGTAACGAAATGTAAGTATCGGTACTCGTACTCGATACCGAAAAACCGGCATCGGTGCATCCCTAATTTCCATTCATTCATTATATCGCAGTTCAAGACATTTCCCCTTTTTTATTATTCTAGTGACAGCATTTTCACTGGGACAGGAAGTGAGGGAAAATCTGTTCAGGGCCATGAACAGTAAAAAACTAAAAGATAATGCTTCAAAATATTCAGGGCTAAGTGACAGTGTCTGTGTAAATGACACCCCATGACCCACTGATACTCTTCATCAATCACTTCCTCTGTTGCGTCCAAAATACCCCGTGCCATTTGATGTTGGAGCTCTTAGGGCGTGGTGATGTCATGATTGTTGTCATGTTGTTGCTCTAGTAATCAGCCACTAGGCCCCAGCACTTCTTTATGGAAGGCGGTCATATGCTTCCCCATACCCTGAAGCAAGGTGTATTTCGTGATGTCTGTGAAAGAGGAAGAAGAAGCGAGGGATCGCCGAAAGGGGGAGTATTAATGGGTCATAGGGGCCTTTTACACAGACACTGTCACTGTGCCTTGAATGGACTATTGTCTCTTTAAATCCTACAAGTATAGGCTATCTTACAATTCTTGGCAGCCCAAATGTTTCTTTTAGCACTGATGTCCTATAAAAGAGAACTCCAGCTAAAATAGAGTATAGAAAGTCAGAAAAGTATTGAAAATCTTTAAATGTCCCACACTTCACTGGCACCAAGGGAAGCCTGCTAGTCGTTGAAAACCATGCATATACTGTAAGGCCATATAAGCATGCAAATAGAAATACAAAACAGAGCAGACCATATAATGCAGATAAAAACACCTTTTATTAAATAGAAATTATAAAATTGTCCTTGCAATACAATGCCTTGATCAGGGCATGTCACCAGGAGAACCCACTCCAATGGTGAACAAGGTCACACCTACAGATACTGAAGACGCTCTTCGGTCCTCTGTTGCCACACTTTTGTGGGGACATTTGTGTACATTTCTACCCTTTGGTTCATGCAGTGTCCACTCAAAAGTTACCATCCCTTCTCACATCTCTCCTGGTCCTCCTAGCTACCTAGCAAGAGTATCTTCAGCATCTGCTTGTGTGACCTTGGGTATCATTGGAGGGGGTTCTCCTGGTGCTATGTCCTGATGAAACCACTTTTGTAAGTGCAGTTTTATCATTTTTATTCATTAAAAAGTGTTTATATCTGCACAATCCAGTGCACTCTTTTTTTTCTACTCAGAAATCTGTAGAGAAAAGTTATACATAATTTAATGGAAGGTAAAGTGTCCAGCATAGCTATTCCACTGTGGCCAGCCCTACGCAACTGTATTTTACTTCAGATATTAGGGAGCAGGCCAGACCTTACACTGGTAATGTATCAGCAATGTACTTTTAATGTGCAAAGTGCAGCAATCCACAGTAACTACTTAGGAACCGTCTCAAATAGCTGAGTGACTTCACATTATGCTACATGCCTTTTGCAGTGCTTTACTAGATAGCCCTGTAAGAACACAATTATCAAGCATATAATGTAAATGGGATATGAAATTTGCAATAAATTAAATGTATAATATTTAGAGTGTATATGTATGGCTTCACTTTGTTTTGAACATACTCTATTTTTTTAACAGGCTGTGCCTTCTTTATTATTTGGGCAAGTCTTTTCCGCTGTGCTTTGGACATAATGATTTGGAATGCTACTTTCCTTGGGATCAATTTTATGCATTTTATATATCTGGTATATAAGAAAAGACCAGTAAGTACAAAATAAGAGCTGAAGTGGCTTGGGTTGCTACCCCTTGACCTTTAAAACTTGGTGTGGAAAGATGTAATTGGTAGCAACTATGGCTTGCTATATTAACATTTGACACATATTTCATAGGCTTTTTTTTTCTTCTCACAGTTTTTAAATTTACATTAGAACCATATGCATTAGAAAGTACTTGCAATGTTTTTTTGCAATTGTGTCCAGTCTTTGGAAATTAAATATATACATATTCTTAACAAGAAGTAAACACCTTTTAAACAAGCCATTCCTGACCTCTGTACCTGCTTGTAATGCGAAATAATGAATTCTCAAAGATCCTCAAAGATCACAACAAACAAAGATAAAGCAAAGACTCTGAAGTCTAGTTTCAGTAAGATTATAATTATTTAATCTGATGCTTGTTTGAATTAGAAGGCTGGCAGGTTGCTATGATTTTGGTACTATAGAGTGTAATAGGAATAAACCAAAGATTTCTGTGCCTCTGTCGTGAACGTTGATTACAAATTCTTCAACAATGCCTCTAGCTACAGAGATAAGCAGGTGCTTGTTTTAAAGTATATTTTCTGCTTGCTCCGAATATGTAAATCTTTTAAAGTGCGTAGTCCGGGCACGTGTTGACTTTATGGAATAAATTATTAAACTGCCTACATAGAGCACTTTGGTTATAATGCTTTAATATACTATATTGTAGACCTAATAACATGATGGCTATAGTTTTTGTAGCTGTCACCTAGGGATGCACTAATAACTGTTTTTCGGTATCAAGTACCAATTTTTTTCGGTATCGAGATACCGAATACTGATACCGGAACTCCCATTATGGAAGCCGGGCGGTGTGTAATGACTTTCCACCTGGCTTCCTGATTAGCCATGAACCTGTCTCCATGCTCCCTCGTCACCAGGTGACGAGAAAGCATGGAGCCGGCTTCCCAGTCAATCAGGAAGCTGGGCGGCATGTAATGATTTAATATAGTATATGTAACAAGAGATGCATACAGAACACTATTTTTTCCTCATGATAATAATGTGTGGTGACAGTAGGGATGCACAGATACCAGTATCAGTATCGATGCATCCCTACCGTCACCACACATTATCATTAGCAAAAAATAGCGTTCCGTATGCATTTCCTGTTACATACACTACTTTTCAAAAACATTACAATATAAATATTGCATTGTGTATGTTTGCCATGTAAGTAAACACAGATCATCCCTTTGGCCTTACATTGTTCCTTTATGTCCAAATAGAATGACAAAGCCTGGTGGCTAACAAAGGACAAAACAGAGCGCCTCCATAGTGTAAAAACGTAATTTATTAGTACAACACACAACTAGAATTGTACTTACAAAAAAGTCGGTAGTTAAAAGCATGTAAAGGTCGATGGAACTCGAAATCTCTAGCAGCGGGAGTCTGAAAGGATGTATCACATCAGCGTCCTCTGCCCCTGTGAGTTCAAAAGGTCTACGTGTTTCAGGGGCACGCCCCCTTCATCAGAACCTGCTGTTCACATCCCTGTTTGTGATGCCATAAAAGATACTCCTGAAAGAAGAAAGTAAAAGAGTAGATCATCTGTAACACTAAATACTTCTTGCAGAAAATGTTACCTTTTCCTGCTTGCTGCAGATTAGTGGCACTGGAATCCCTGTACAATCTAACAGAGGCCAGAAGTCAGTTATGCCAGGAGCCACAAATTGTTGGATAGGATTGGGCCCACAGGTGCTGACCCTCATGAATTAATTCCCCAAGCCTGAACACCTGAACATTTCTTATAAATTGGGATGGTCACATACTTGTCCCAGGACTGCTTGACCAGGTTGATATAAAAATTTGCCCCATCGCAAGAGTTTCTTCCCCAAGCTAATACTTGCATACAAGTTTATGTATGCAAGTTTTTCATTCTGTGCATTAAGGGGAGTTTGTTCATGGCCCAAAATGTCCAGCCCAGCCAATGGCTTTTTTTCTGAACAGTGCAGGATGCTGAGGCTTATAGGCTTTGGGTCACTATGCCCAGAGAAATGTATTTCCTATTTTGCAAACGAATATGATAGCTACATTGCTTTTTATAAAATTCTAGATCAAGATAGAAAAGAAGCTGAAGGGTATCTATCAGAAAATTTTTGAGCCTCTTCACGTGCCCCCTGAGCTGTTTAAGAGACTCACTGGCCAGTTTTGCAGCATTCAGACCTTAAGAAAAGGAGAGACCTATGCAGTGGAGGATAAAACATCTGTAGATGACCGTTTAAGTATACTGCTCAAAGGGAAGTAAGTGTTCCAGTAAGCTGCTATTTTTACAATTAGAAAATGGTGTTACTTTTTTTGCATTTTGTTAAAGCGTTCTTTGACACAACTCTGACTTTATTTTGGTGAATTATGTTAGTTCTTGATTATCTAGTTATTGTTAATGCTAGGCAACAAATACAGCAGAATTATTCTGTTAAATAATTATTTGTGCAGGAAAAGGTATGATATTTAATGATCAGTAAAGTAAATATATATACTATATGATTGATAAAGTCCTGTTGCCAAGCTTTCTTTAAATTCTGGAAGAGCAGATTGAGAAGATTTGCCTTATTTTCTAAGGTATGTGGGATACATCAGACAAATTTCCAAAGAACTGGTTACAAAAGGAGTGACCAAAGTGCCATGGGACACAGCTAGTGGAGTCCACTCATAGGGGTTGATTTACTTAAAGCAAATAGGCCATTCAATTTGCAAGGGAGTTTGCACATTGCAAGGGGAGTTTCCCTTGGTTTGGTGAATGCAGTGATATTTCACTTTGCAAAGAATACCCAATCACGTGCAGGGAAAAAAAAATATTTTTGCTTGCACATGATTGAATGATGGAAGTCAGCAGAACTTTACCGCATTTAGTAAGCTAAAGGAAACTTCCCCTGCAAAGTGCAAATTCCCTTGCAAAGTGAATAGTCTATTTTCATTTTGTTAATCAACCCCTTACTGACTCTATCATAATGAATGTGTAACAGACCACAATTCTTTGTTTGTGCATCTGTATTATTTGGAGAGTTTACAATATGTAATCTGAAAACATCCCAGAAAGGGAAACTATTTTATCTAACTTTGCATTTTGTGTGTATGCATAACAAATAGTTCTTAATGACAGATGTTAAATTCCTCAATTTGACCAGGTACTATTATTTTGTTGATGGCTAACTTATCCTTGTTTAAAAATTGAAAGCTAAATAGTTTGTGTGCCCTTAAAAATAATAAAAAAATATATATTCTTATAGAAGAGAATTTTGGACCATTATAAGAATAATGTACAGTAGACATGTGCGATTCGTTTCGAATCTAAATTCGGACGAATTTTCGGACATTCGGATGCATCCGAATTCCAAATTACAGCTAAAACTAATGCAAACGAATGTGAATTCCCGATTTCCAGAAATTCGTTAGCGGTAGTCCGGTCGAAATGCTATGCTATTCGGGTCTGTGAGCCGAGGCGTCATAATGCTTTTCATATGCTTTTCATATGACACCTCAGCTCACAGACCCAATAGGATTCGGAAACTCACGAATAGCACTCGGGAGTTTCCGACTACGATGTAGTATTTGACGGCTGAGAATGTCAAAT